TAATGAAAAAGGAGAGTGGGAGTTGCTGTACTTAAAAGATCACTTATGTGAAGCTGATTTAATGAAGTTACGAGCCATAATTTCACCTATAGCTTGAAATGAAAGTGATAAGATTAGATGGCAAGGGTCTATAGAATGTTTGTATGTTGTGACAAATATGTATAAGAAGATTAAAGGAGAGGTGGATGTTGAAGATGAGGTTGTATGGAAGAAGATTTGAAAGTAAAAAAGGACTCAAGAGAGTACAAGTTTTGTTGTGGTTGGCAACTCATGATATGTCAGTCACTTCTACTAGAAGGGCGAGAATGATGGGTGGTTCCTTAATGTGTGGTAAGTGTAATGATGGAGATGAGTGTATAATGCATGTTTTTGAGAGACTGTGTGGAGGCACGGAAGGTTTAGAGGGCTTTAAGAAGGGAGGAAGTATCTAATTCATTTTTATGTGGCAAGAAAACGAGTGGATTTTAAATAATCCAAATAAGATAAGAGATTGGGGACTGGTGATTGTGGTATTGGAGAAACAAGTTGCTATATGAAGAGGGATTTTAAATGTTTGAGAAGCTTGAGTTGATAATAAATAGATATGCATGGGGTGGAAGTACTTGACTGGTTTTGTTTGGTTGACATGGCATGTGTAGACAAGAGGTCCAAGTAGTTTGGGTGAAACGCAAGACTAGTTGGATTAAGCTCAACTTTGACGGAGTTGTTAATTTGATTGAATAAAATGCTAGTTGTGACATATTACTAAGGGAAAATGATGGAAATTGGACTCGTGGTCATGCCAAGCATGTGGGTTTTTGTTTAATGGTTGTAGCAGAGTCATGGAGTGTGTTGTGTGGGTTAAAGGTGGCAAAAGAAAGGAAAATGCACAGGTTGATTATTAAAAGGGACTCCCTAGCTGCTATTAGTATGCTCATGGAGGTAATGATTGATGACTTAATTAGAAATAATATGATAAAGATGATTAAAGATCTACTTTGTATAAATTGGCAAGTACAAATACAACATGCTTATAAACAAAAAAATACTTGTGTTAACTAGTTAGCTAGTGTTAGTGTTTTGTAGGATTTTAATATAAAAGAATTTGTTTTTTCTCCTACTAATTTAGTTGATGCGTTGTATGGAAACAAAAGGAGTGTCACTATCTCACGTGAAGGTTTAGCAACCCAGTTTAGGCTTTGCCCTCTTTGCTCATTAAAAAAAAAAAAAAAGATTAGTGTGCAATCCTTTAAAAAAATTTGTTGTGCTAAATTAACTTAACACATGATAATAAATTCTAAATAAAATATTTTATTGTTTTTATTTTTAGTAAGAACAATATAATAAATTATAGAATAAAATAAATTTTTATACTTTTAATGTGTATAAGAGTAATAAATTATAAAAAAATAATTTGTTTTAAAATAGGGTAAAATTATATTTTACAATTTACAACACTATTATTATTGCAGAATAAAAAATTTGTCAGATGTGATTTTAAATGTTAAAAAGCGGAGTTAAACTTTTTTAAATTGATTGAATTTAAAAAATAAAAATAAGAGGAAAAATAATCAATTTAAATTTTTTAATAAAACTTTAATAAAAAATCAAACTTCTCAAAATACTTCACTATTTTTCTTGTAATATCTAGCTAGTGAAAATATAGAACAATTACATTTTGAAAAATACGCAAAAGACGTAAATCCACAATCACATCCTTTAAAAAATTGTCACTGTCAAATTGATATAGAACAATTCCAAAATTTAAACTTTAAATTATTTCATTTACGTTCATCTTCAAAAATAATATTTCAATCTTTGACAGAATGTCAGCTTTTGATATTGAGAAAAGACAAATTATTAATAATTAACAGTTAAAAATATAAAAATAAATAAAAAGAAAAAGGAAAGAAGACATTATAATTTTAATTTTAAAACTTTAAAAAAGGGATCAAAATGTACACTTGGCCCTCCGATTCTTAAACATGTTTACTTTAATTTTTTTAATTTTTAGAACTATATTTTTATGTTATATATACATGCGTGGGCACATAGAGTTATCTTCTTCTTTTCCAATCTCTATGGTTTTTGTATTGTTATTGTTTTGGCATGGATAATAAAGTTCTTTTTTTACCCACTATATCTAGAATTGGCAATTGGAGGGACCTGATCATTTGAAATCGCCTGAATGAGCTTAAACTTATTAAAAAAGTTTATATAATTAAATTTGATCATAACGTTTTTAGAACTTGGGCTCATTCGGGCAACTTGAATATTTGAATTGTCAAAGTTTTTTCCATTTTGAAAACAAATTTTAATCTTTACTTTAAAATAATTATTTTATTATTATAAAAATATATATAAAATATTTTCTCTGTTTAAAAATGTAAAGCATTTTTTGAGGAGTTAAATGTTCAAAAATAGAATATATTTGTAGTTTTTTTGAGATATAATTATTGTTTTTTTAAGTGCTCCTATTGATAATAACTTTATATTTATTATAGGATATTTAATAAAGTTAGATATGAAGAGATAAGGTTAGTTAAAAAGTAAGTAACTATGTTATTGGGGGTGCGATACAGTTAAAAATACCTTATATTTTTAAATGGAGGGAACATAATTTTTGTAATACTTAAAAATGTAGAAGACTTTTTAAAAAAATGTTTGGGCCTTAAATTTAAAAATTAAAATTAAAATACATTTAAATATTATTTTAAAATATTTATAGGTAAAAAATAATAAAAGTGTAACAATATCAATTTTTTAAATTTTTTAAAATATCTATAATAGGCTCAGATATTAAAATGTGTTATTTTATTAAGTCCAGTCCTAAATTTTTTTATGCTTATTTGGAGTGGCCTATCAAACAATACTTGAATTACTAGCTTTGGCCACGCGCACCTAAAGATCTGTTTGATTATTGTATTGTTTTGGTTAAGCTCATTAATTTGTGTCATTTCTCTTTTTTAATTCACTTTAATCAAGCAAATATTAATGTTCCACGTGAACGAGGACATTAGATTTTATTTTTTACGGGTGCACGGAAAAAGTATTCCTTTATTGTTTGTTTGTTATATATTTTTTAAAAAAGTTAGATTTTCCTAGTCATTAAAAAGAAATAACAGAAGCTGTAATTTTTTCAATTAATAGCTTTTTATTTTTGACCCATCTAAAAAAGATAATACTTTCTTTTAAGTAAAAGTATATATTTAGCGATTTAATTTTAAATAACATTTTATTTTAATCTCTTAATTTTATAAAGTATTTTTTCAGTTTTTTGACTCTATCTGATAACTTTTTATATTAAACTTTTAAGTATTAACAAAACGTTATCAAATATTAACATATTAAGTTTATTTTTTAAAAAAATAATAATAATTGATATAAAAATAATCACTAAAAATTAATGATATTAGAGTTAAAGAATTAAAAAAATACTTTATAAAATTAAAAGATTAAATTAAAACCTTGTGTAAATTTATAAGAATAAAAATATACTTTAATAATTTATTTAATTTCAAGGCGATAACTGGAGTGCAAAATGACGATAACTGGCTTAATGGCCATGGTAGGGGAAGAAGAACATACCAGTACACGCAAAAAGGAATCTAGTTTACAATGTGAGGTGGCCGTTCAGTTTTAGATTGGAATCCTCTCTTTACCATATCTAATCATATCCATTTATTTAATTATTTATTTGATTCAATAGTGTCAAATTATTGATTATGACATTAAAACAAATATATTATTCATTTAATAATTATCATAAATAAGCATTAAAAACTTATGTGTAAAAGTATTTAAGAGATAATAGTAAATAATCTATTTATTTTATTGTCATAATTAGCAATATGATATTATTAAATTAAATGAATAATTAAATCAATGAATGAAATTGAGTATATTAAGAGACATATTGAGAGAGAGGGTACGAAGAATATCTAAATCTATTCAGTTTTTTACTTTTTGTATGATTGATGTTCCTGGAAAATGATAAATACAGGGGCCAGGGCAAATCGATTATAAACTTGCCGCTTCAAAAATTCTGAATTGACGGGGAGGGAGAAAAATGTATTCATGAAAATTTTTGCACGAACAACAAAATACATGTTATGTTAAAAAAAAAATGCCCGTTTATTAATATTAGGTAACACGAAAGTTTTCGCTGCTAACAAGTTGGTTCACCTTGATTTTGGAAACTACTAAAACGAAAATTTAAAAAAAAATGAAAATAATTTTATCCCATCAACATGCACGTAACAACATATTCTTTCCGTTTTAAAATAATCATCACTTGCAGACTCATATTAAGAAGGCTGTTAAGTAATCTATATGTTGAAATAAAATGACCTCTATTATAACACAATACTCCTGAATTAAAATATTGTATAATTCATCATTACTTTTAATATTAAACAATAAGATGATATTTAAATTAATTAATACTTCCTCCTATCCTTATTATAACACACCTTTAACTATTTTGCGCATCTTAAGAAAAATTAATTTTTTTTGATATCATGAAAAAGTGACACACACTTTTATTTTTACTTTTAATTTTAAATAATAATATAATTATATTGAATATCTCCATCCTAATCAAGAGGGGAAAAATTGAAAAAGTAATTTAATTATTATAAATTATTTTATATCTTGAATCAATTTTTTTTAAAGGTGTATTATAAATAAAATCGGACAGAGCATTTTACGGGCATTTAAAAGCGATAATTATTTTAAAATAAGATCAAAATTTTAAATCAATATCTATTTTGGAATGGAGCGAGTAAGTGGCAAACTATCTTGAGATATTAGTGCATCCAAATCCAATCATCTATGGCTTTTGTCCGAATCGCAAGGCTGACCACATTTAGCAAATTTTATTTACCAGCTTTTCCTGCTAGCCGCATTGCCAAGGTCCGAATCTGAAGGATGACCATTCCAGATTTTCTGGCCTTTCTCCACGTCAACCCAGCGAATCACTTCCTACTAGAACAATTATTGGATGCTTTATGACATGTGATTCACAAGCATTTTGAGGGCATATAATTTTTAAAGCACGTGTTTTACCACTTGGCAGGTAGCCCACGAAATCTGGATATTCGCGTGGTGGTGTATATAGTAACACTACTACACTACTACGTGAGCTCGCTCAGTCCAACACCAATCCAACCTAGTTCTCTCGTTTTACGATCACCAGGAAAAACAACACATTACTTGCGCTGCTCTAAGATATTTCTCTATCTGAGAGTCTGTATTTTCTTTTCTTGCCAATCTTCGATGGATTCCGTGTTTCTTAATTTTGGCTGATTGTGTGCAAGCTGTTTCTTCTGGGGCGGGAGTCCAGCAGCTCTGAATTTGTACGTATAAAGCTCACCTGTTTCTGTTTTTCATTGGGTAATATTAGACGGCATTAGTGAATCTGGGGTTATTCTGCTAGAAAGGTTTTTTAGGGGTGTTCTAACTGGGTGCATGTTTTGGTGTTTTGTGATGCTGTTTTGATCTCCGAAGGGCAAGAAACGCCGAGGTTGGAGGATATGCTGAACTCCCGCCACTAGACATCGTAGAGTACGTTAGCTTATTTAGAGTGATTAATTTGTGAGTTATGGAACCTCTATGTGATCTTTGTGGGTTCGTAAGAGCAGTGGTCTACTGCGAGTCAGATTCTGCTCGTCTATGCTTGAACTGCGACTGTCGTGTACACTCTGCGAATGCTCTGTCACACCGTCATCCTCGTTCACTCCTCTGTGATAACTGCAATTGCCAGCCCGCAATTGTCCGCTGCATGTATGATGAAATGTCTGTGTGTCAATCTTGTGACTGGAACCAAATTGGCTGTTCACGATTGGGCCATCGGTCTCAGGCATTAAGTTCTTACACGGGTTGTCCCTCTTCGGCAGAGTTCTCAAAAATATGGTCCTTTGTCCTTGATGCTCCTTCTTCAGGCGGTCTTGGTGTTGCTGCCCCTCGATCATTTACCACATTGCCTAGAAATGACAGCTGCTCATCAAGCAAGTGTTTGGAGCAACCAGATAACGATACCTCCTTTGATTTGGTGACTGGTAAGGTGAATGAAATAGAACCATGTGTCAAATATGATCCTTGGATGGGACAATCTTCTAATATTATACCACCCAACACAAATTTCCTGTCATCGTGCAGAGACCAACCATTTTCATTTCCCCTTGGTTCCGACCTGGCGAAGGTATGACCTTTCGTTGGTTTGTTTTAGTCACTATAACCTAAGTATATTTATTTCCGAGAATGCTGGACAGTTGATTGACATGAATACTCACCCATGGAGCCGTGTCCCTTAATGATATAGACTTGTGTAGTTTGCAAGAGACATTTAGTTCAACTTCTATGCCGTCATGTGCCTAAAAAAAGAAACTAACTCATGAGCTGCAGGAATGTCCCAATTTAAAGGATTTTGGAACTGCTAGTGGTGATGGTCTCTGTGCAGGTCTCAACATAGCAGATCTTTCATTCAGCCTCGAAAGTGATGATGAAATACTTGATTACACTCAAGAAGCCACCAGAAACCATGCTGAGAATAATGGAGAAATTGACTGTTTATTAATGGGAAAGAACATATCAGTTCCCGAACCTAACGGTCTTATTGAGAATGCCTTAGAGGTCCTCTAATTTAATTCTAATTATTTAATTATTATTACGTAGCATCCTCATCATAAATATATTGGTGATGCACAAAATTAATTGAGACACATGAATGATTGTTTTAGGCATCTTCATCAGTTCAACAAGATTGCGCAGCCTTTCAATCATCCAGGCCAAGCGGGTCAGTTAACATGGGGCACACCATCAACAGTAATGCAAATCCTATCTCCATGAATCTGAGCTGCAACCAAAACGTCAATCTAGGATATCCTCATGGTCAAGTGCATCCAAGCATATCAGCCTCATTATCAAACATTAGTGGTGAAAATAGTGCCCCTGATTATCAAGATTGTGGATTATCACCAACATTCCTGACAGGTGTCAGCCGGTGGGAGCCAAATTTTGGGTCCTCGTGCCCACAAGCAAGGGACAAAGCTAAAATGAGGTACAACGAGAAGAAGAAAACCAGGACGTATGTGCCTTTTTACTCTTTGTATGCATTTTATTCAAAAAGCATTATTTGGTATGCTTTATGTAATTCTGAGTACACATAGCCTCATTTATATATTGATATTCATTGACAATTGCAAATGTAGCCAATGTATACTTAGATTGACGAGTCAATAGATGTGCCTAGAAGTCTAGAACCATCTTTTCAGCTACGATCTTATCGTTCATTCCGCTTATCACAGTTATATCTTTGAAAGCTTTTTATTTATCCCGATGAAATCCTCACATTGATTGTGGCCAGGTTTAGTAGACAAATAAGATATGCGTCTCGCAAAGCAAGAGCTGATACTAGAAAACGGGTGAAAGGTAGATTTGTGAAAGCTGGTGAAGCACATGATTATGATCCTCAAGTGACAGGGAACTTCTAAGCATATTGCCTGCAATCACCGTCTTTTCTCTTGCCGTGTGATTCTGATTGGTAGGGTTGTCATTGAAGATTGTAAGTGCAACGTTTTGTTTTCAACAGCATATTTGTTGTTCATCCTATGAATTGGGATAGCATTTTAATGCAGCTAGATTACTATATAATTTTGCCTACTCAATTTAACAGGTTGTAGAATCCTGCATCAATCTTCAGCTGAAAGCAAGGGTGCACAAAGGGTCTGCATTTGGAAATTGCATGCAGAAAGCAGGGGTTTTGTTTATTCTTTTTTTTTTCATGCTTATCTTCAAGGTAAGGCTTCTTGAAAGTTTCTTTAACTTCTAGAATGTTTACAAATTGATTTTCTTCTCCATTCGTTACCAATCTGTTTAATTAGTCTTCCCTGATTCCAGAGGAACGGTACACAACGGTCCGTCCCAAATTTTGTGTGTCGCTATGGGTCCTACACAAACACCATCCAAGTCAAGAATAAAAGGAAAAGTGATGATGGCTGGCAAGCCTCCGTGCTGCGTGAATAATCGATTTGTTTGGCATCGCTTTACATTTTTTTCGTTGGAACCATAGTCTTTCAATAATGGTGTAAATTATGCCACGTCACCAAGGGAAGCTTTGTTTCTTTTTTGACCATGGAAAGATTGATTTGATCATTAAATATTCGATTAGAAAATCTATAATTAATTCAAGTGAACAGATAAACTACTAAAGCTTTCAAAACTCCGCTTCTCTTTGCCCAGAAACTACGGTGGGCTTTTGGGTCCCTCCATTAATAGAAGCTGTTTCTCTACTGCCAAGTGCCAACAAGACAGAGTCTGATTTGGTCGCCCATCACATCTGAACCATTCAGATAATCTAAACAGTCTAGATTAATAAGTTTTATTTTATTTTTTATTTTATAATTATTAAAATAAAAATTATAAAAATAATACAAATATATTTTGTTATCAACATGGATAATATAAATTTAATCTTCCGGTCAAATTCAATATTAAAATTTTTATAAATTAACTATTTAGAATTATTTTAAACAGTTCAATTTTAAAATTTTTAACTCATAATTTTTTTAAAATACCAGTTTAGAGAATGTTTTTATTTTTAATATTATTATTATCAAAATAAAAATTATAAAAAATTTAATGTTAAATTCATATTGTTTCACGTACATTGTAAAAATTATAAAATTTTTACTATTAAATTGGATAGTTATTATTGTTTTTATATCAAACATAAAAATTAAATTATTCAAATTAAATCTGTATATGTATTATTTAGATGGCTTGATAGATTTATTAAAACTTGTATAATTTTTATTTTAATAAATATTAGATAAAAATAAAACAATACTTCTAAATTTGGACTGCTCAAATTAAAAATATGAACGGCACAAATTGTGATGAGCATTGAAATTCATTCCCAATAAAACAATAATAATGCAAAGTTTTGACTCAGTATATATGTATATATTTAAACGGTCGATATGTTACTTGACAAAAGCAGCGGAGGATCATTAATTTCCTCCATTCTCTCCTTTCCCCTTCAGGCCAAAAAAAATTCTCTCCTTTTCCCTTTCTTCCGTACAGGACCTTCGAAGATTTGTGCGTATACGAGTAAAGGGCACATGCAATTGCTGCCGTACAGTATATTTTTCCTATTTTCCTTATAAATTATTTCTATTCATCTCATAAATGCAAAAAAAAGTATTAGTACCAAGAATAAAAATATATAAAATTTTAAATATATTTTTATATAATAAATTTTAAAAATAATATCGGTTACTTTTTTTTATGAAGGGTAATTTTAAAAAATATCTTTTAGATATTATTTAAAAAACTATAATTTATAAATAAAATTAAATAAACATTTTAAAATGTGACTTCTGTATGATGAAAGGGATAGAAAAGAGAGGTTAGAGAGACACAAAGTGGAGATCGTCTTTTCGTTTCCAGAGTGTTTAATTATTTTTAATTCTCGTAAATGAAATTTGAAAGTTTTAATTTATCAACTTTTCTACGGAATTTTCTTTTATTTTGGAGAAAAAATTGAAAAGAAAAATTAACTCACAATTGAGTCTTTGTTTTGTCATTAACTTAAACTTCAAAAGGAAAATAAACAAAATACAGACGTTAAATTTTAACCTATTGCATGATAGAAGACTAGAAGATCGATTAAGAAATCTCAAACACTGCACTTTCCTTCTTTTCCTCAGAATCTAGTGACGCCTACAAAATTCTTTCGTCGAACCTTGATATTGAGAAAAAGCATTAGTCCTCGAGTGTATCAACAAATACAAAAGCCAGATCACGCAAGATGAAAAAGAAAACAGTGTCTTCGTCAGCCCGAACACTTTCTGTCGCTCCCCTTCTAAGTTCCGATATTGCTTGTCACAGTAACCTCGACGGAGGCTCCAATAAGATATCGTCGTGAAAGATTCTGGCACGTATTGCAGAGAAAGCACCTTACGTGCCTGAAGGCCAAGAAATTGGCTTTATGAACTGACTGGTCACATTTTCTACACAGATACGCTTTATCAGCTAGGCAATACAGCGAAGCCCTTAACCCACAGAGCTCACATGGTATCGAACCTCCGGTTTCGCCACGTGAAGTGCCGTCTTCAGGTGGCCAGAGGTGGCTCCTGCAGAAACCACCATGCTTTTCCTCTACTGCACCCTTGCACATTTTGACGAGGAGGAGAAGTAGTTGACGACGACGACGACGATATCTGTATATATGAGCTTACGGTGATTTGTTGAAGAAAAAAGGGTAGCTGAATGGAGGCTTTATATAGGAAAGCGTAAGAACGATGAACATTGAATCGTCACGCAGGTTCGGCGGACATATGCATAAGGACAAGGACGTGAATGCCACTACGCCACGAAAGCAATGAGTGTCTTATTGCAGCCCTTTTGTCCTTTTCCAATCAATCGAAGGAGGCCATTCTAGTAAATAAACCAAGGGGGGAGAAAAACTTGTGATGAAAATATTTGGAAATAAAAAGATGCTCCCATGGGGACATGGGGTGACGGGAGCCATAATTTATGACGTTGAGTGGTGAGCAAGCCAATCGGGGTTGCCAAAGAAGAAAGGGCAATTGTATGGTCCAGAATGAGTAGCTTTGCTAGTGACCCACCAAAGTCCATATGGTTCGTTGTTGCGCGTAAGGCCATATAATCTCAAGTATAGAGGAATAATCAATTTGACTTGAATGGTACAAATGGTAGAAATATTTGGAGGCTTTTTGGGACCATTCTTGTCCTGGAGAGGTTGGATCCAAAAAAGGCCTTGGGAAGCGTACTTGTGTAAGCGAAGATGTCCTTGTCCACAAATTGTTCTGAGGTTGGAAAGTGAGTGTCCACATGTCTGGTGGAGAGTTGAGACAAATGGGGAGGTTGAGAAAGCCTGTGAATTGCCACGAATATGAATGTTGGGTGAATCCAGAGATTATGGCAAAGTTTGGTGCTTTTGGTGATACTGGAAGAGGAAGGGTGTGTGCGTGTGAGAAATTATAACCGTTCAAATTTGACACCGCCACACCGCCACTAATGAGCCAATCGGAGTGGGTATTAAGTAAGCACATTTATTCTGTAAGGAAAGCGATGCTTGGATGAATCTGCTTTAAATTTGGCACTGTTGGGGAAGATGGGAATTTTCCATTGGGAGGTCATCTGAAATTCAATTATTGCGAGAGCGCTGCACAAAATTAACATAAAACCTGAAAATCGAAATTCATCCCTTATGGATTTTGCTTTGTTTCGTAAAATGGGAGGCATGGGCAATAATAGGGCTCAGACAGTGTTTATTAAATGGAAAAAACAAATGAGTGAATGAATATTGCGCTCGTCTCTAAGATTCAGCAAAATGAAACTGGAACGAAAATCAAATCGAGTCAAGTTGAGTTTGATCTATTTGATTCAGTCAATTTAGTTTTTCAATTCAATTTAATTTTTTATTTTAAAAAATTTCTGTTAAATAGTTCAATTTGATCTACAAATTTTAAAATTAAATAGACCGAACCTATCGAATTATCATTCATTCATACATACATACATACATACATACATATATAATTAACTTATAAATTATATGTATAATTTGTTACTTTACTTTATTTCCATGCAATTTGTTTATAAGCTCAGTATACATACATACATGCATATATATGCCTTTATCAGTTTGAGAAAACAAGCAAAAGTTAATAGTGGGGAAGGGGTCGGGTCCAGAGTCACAGTGACTCAATCTCATTTTTATGCGCATAGATGCATTCATTTGTTTTTTTCATTAAAATAATACAATGGATACAAATATTTTTTTTTTGGCCAAACAATGGATACAAAGATAATAGCATAGGTCTAGGCAGTCCAATATAAAACCAAAATTGAACAAATTAACAAATTAAATTGTTAAAATTTGGTTTGATTCTATTTCAGTTCAATTTGGTCTAAATTTTAATTGTTATGTGTAACATCCTGATTTTTTATATAATAAAGAAATTGTGGAATTTAGGTTTTGAGAAAAAAAATGATGATAATAATAGGAATTTATATTATTTGAGGTTATTTATAAATAATATTATGGTTAGGTATTTAATTATGAATTTAAAAATTTAAATTTAAAATCACATAAGCAATATTTAGTTAAGATATAATACATAAATAATTTTTTTTATGTATGTGTTGAAAAAAAAAGAGAGAGAAGGTAGAAGGAACAAAAAAAAGGGGGTGAAAGGTTGTTGTTTCTAAGTTCCACATTGGTTAATGAGGGAAGAGAAGAGGTGCCTTCATGTATAAAAAGGATGGGGTGTGTGCATTAGGAAGCATGAGAGGCTAAGATGCAATTTAGAGAAAATTGCAACTTTTGGCCCAAAGGTTTGAATAATTAAATTCGAACCTATAGTTTTTTTTAATATAATCTTGGGACTCACAATCCCATTTTTATATTATTTTTCTCTCTTCCTCTCACGTTGCTCGGCGTTTTCTCGCAAGGGAGGATTATTTTTTTTTTCTTCAGGTATGTTCTAACTTTCTTGTTTAGATTAGCATTTAAAAATTTATTTAATTACAAAATTAATTTTATAGTTATTTTCTAAATAATATTAGCTTTCTAGTGATATGATTATTTTGTAGGATAGAGTAAATATTTTGATTAGGATTTTTTTTTATAGGATAGTTAATCTGAAGATATGATAGATTAAAATATAGGTTAAAACTCTTAGGAATATAATAAATATTATAGAATATTTTCTTGAGGTTGAAACTCATGTTTAAGAATTTTTGAGTTAAAATCTAGATCTATATGGTTGAATTTATGTGGAATCTGAGATGTAGGGATAAACCTCTGATTATTAAATATTTATTTAAGTATGAATAGGTATTTTTGAGGTTATAGAAAGGTGATTTGAGGTTTCAGGATAATTCTAAAATTTTTAATTTATTTTTGAACGAATTTTTAAAATATAGAATGATGAAATTGTGATACTAGAAGTGATTTGAGGATAAAAAAATAGTTTATTAGGGTACGAGAATTTTAGAAAAGAATTTAGAAAGTTAAATGAGGCATAAATCTTAAATTAGTATTAATATGGATTATAGATCTAAGACTTTCTAATTCTTTAAATTAGAGTTATTTATTTTAATGTAAAATTAATATATAGTATTGTGAAATAATTATGTAGATTATATTGACAAAGATAGCGGTGAAAAAGGAGTTGTGAAGGGGAACTTGTTATTCAAGACACAAGGTAACCATTGTTAATGTGTTGTGATGAGTGTGTTTGTGAATGGTTATGTGTTGTTTTGTTGTTTGGAAAAATTATGAATTATTGAAAATAAATACTGTATATACTTGTTTGAAATTATTGCCAAGTGGGTTAAAAATTTATTTTTTATTTATCATGATGAGATATTATTGTTCGGATATATATTCCTGTTTGGATATTTGAATGATGCATGACTTGTCAGGGTATTTTAATGTATGGTGTTAATGGGAATTTATGTTCGGTTAATTATTACCACGTGGTAAGCCCTCATTGGACCCAATGAGTGGCGTGTCGCTTGGTCCAACTCACCTTTGGCCGGGTGATTTGGCGTCCGAGCATGGTGAAAGGAGGAGATAAGGTGTAGTCATGCAATTAAATACTTGTTCGGTTTGTTTAAAAATATTTTTTGGTTAAATGTTTTGTGTGCCCACTTAGCAATCGCATGATTAGTTACATCCGCATGCATCATTACATATTAATTTCTGGTTACTGGGACTTTTAAGTCTCATTCCCCGTGGTTAACATTTTTACATGAGCGAGTTCGGCCGAGAAAGCACTAGAGGTGTAACTATGGTGTATGAGACACCATCTTTTACGTTGCCTCTTATTTTGGATTATACAATGTATCTTGTGCCAACTTAGGACATATCTTCTTTGAGAAGCATGTAAACTCTAATCCTTTTTATTAAAAGTATTTATATGACCAAGAGGATTATGTCTGTCCCTCTTGATTTATGATCTGATTTGAATATCATGCCATGAGGATCATGTCTGTCCCTCATGGTTCTAATTGTTTTTTTGAGATATTTTAAGACCTGTGGTATATTGTCTTAGATGTATCATGGTAGAAATTTTTCTACCATGATAAGGGTATGATAAGGGTTCAATGAAAAAAAAATGATTTGTTGAATTAATAATTTGTGAAAAATTGGTTTGTAAATTTGAGGGTGTTACATTATGCGGTTGATTGATTTTTCATATTTCAACACCAAACTAAACCAACTGATGTTCACCCTACTCGTTTCTATTCTAGATTTGAATAGTTTAAATTAAGTTTCATCTTGTGAATGTTAGCTATTTTTTATTTTTGAAAATTTACATACAGAATAAAAAACTTTTAATTCTCAACTTTAAAATGATAGTCATTTTCTTTTAAAAAAAATAATATCTTAGTTCTTAAGGGAACCATAAGGCATCTATGAGAGAATTTGATATGAAACTATGCTACCTCCGTTTTAATTATAAGGTGAGCTTTGAAAAATTCCATGTTTCAATATATAAAAAAATTTGCCGATTTTTAAGGACAATTGATATCTTTTTCTTTTTCTAAAATACTCCTAAAAGAATATTCTGATAAGTGCCAAAATCCCATCGACCTCGTGAACCAGCTCGTACAAACACCTTATGAATCATTCACACGATCAAACAAATATCTCGTTCACAATTTGGCCCCCAAAATCTCCCAATTAACATTAATAACAAGGCAACAATTCATATCTTATAAATACTACAATGGCCAATCATAACCTCTTTGTCAAGATAAAACCATATACTTGTATTAGTATTTCAGTCTTTCACCATATATTCAACACATACACATCATCCTAGGATGAAATACCAAAATTGACATAATTACTATCTTGCAAATGCAGCCAAATAAATGTTTATTCTAAATTGACAATGACAAGTGTGTGTGTGTGATTAAAGGAATATTAAACTAAATAATATAACAAAATAAAGGAGTCGGGTCAGAGTCTTACCAAATATCAGTGTTGCAGAATCTACCCGACTACCCACACAAGTTTAGACCATTAGAGTCCAGACTATGGTGCACAGCAGATGCATCGAAGAGAAAGAGAGAAAGAGGAAGAGTGAACTAAAGAATTGTTTGCTCTAGAATATCTCTATCTTCAGCCTTCGATCA